TTTTTTGATTGATTGAATCTCTGTTTGTGGATTTATATAAGTTTTTGTTCTTGTTTTTCCAAATATTTTTTGGTGAGTTGTTTTTGTTAATTAGATGTGTTCTTATATCGTGGTTTGGTTTTAATATTATTATCAGTTGGTGGATATTGAAATTTTTTTCCTTTGAGCCTACATTTTGGTCTAATTCATATGTTTTATTATTCAAAATCGTGCATTTTGATCAATTGTTTATTTGACCTAGATTGAACTCTCTCTCTCTCTCTGTCTCAGTGTAAATACACAGCTTTATCAATTATGATTAGGGAATTCTTGTAACTTTGATTTTAGTGAGATATCTCATGTGCAAATCTTGGTTGAAGAGTTTGATTGGTTGCTAGCAAAACTGGTGGGTTAGAATTCCTGGTTAATAGGAAAGTTTGATTGGTTGCTTAGCTTGAACTAATTATGTGGAAAGGAATTAGTTGATTCTGCTGTTAGTCTTCAAAGATGTATTTTTGAATTTTGAAAATAATTCAAATCAAGTCTCCAGATTTGTTCTATCCTAGTAGTTTTAATTTTGAATAATTGGGAGGGCACCGAGGTATTATTTTGATTTGTTGTTCTTGCAAGTTTGCTTTTGTGTTTTATGATTGGTTAGTTAATCCAATGTTCATCATTGATTGATGAGAAAAGTTAGCATCTAAGGATTGTATTTGATCACTTGCACAGATTCAGTGCATGTCTATAATATGTTTGAATAGGTCATTAAAAATCAGAATTGTGTGCTACTGTTGCATGATCTAAGTTGGGAAAATTTTGATATCACGAATCATAAAGAATCAACACTTCTGGATGTTTCTAAATTATGGACAGCTATAGGAAGTCTGAAACTGCCGAAAAATATTTTTAAATCAGGACAGAACATCATCTTAGAAATTTATTTCCATTTTTCGCGCATAATTAATTATGAACCAGGTTTAATAAGAAAAGAAAAACAAAACATTTAAGATTCAATCATGCTAAGTTGAAAGTGCAAAATTATAGGATCTTTCTGAACTTGTTTGTATGTTGCACTATTTCACTCAAAACTTTTTCTCATTTGTGTGCATGCGCGCGTAGGTGTGCACAATCATCACATACAACCAACTTCATGCGTTAGATATCTCATTTTATATTTGTATATTATGGCTGATTTTATTTCTCTTTCCTCCCTGATAGAAGGTATATATCGTACAGATAATGCTATGAATAAACGAGCTTATAAATCATTAATTTGGTTATCTGTTTTAGAAGTATTTTCTAATTTTTGGTTTTATTTCATTGCTCAGACACTGATATGAATAGAGAAGAGTTGGGGAACACCATGACTGTTAGAGCAAAACCAGCAGGTCTAGCAGTTTTAAAAAACAATGGCCATCGGGAGGATGAAGGGGAGTCCAAACTTGAACCCTATGTGGGCTTGGAGTTTGATTCGGCAGAGGATGCACAGGAGTTTTACAACTTGTATGCATCCCAGACGGGGTTTAGGATTAGAATTGGTCAGCTGTACCGGTCAAGAGTTGATGGGGAAGTTATTTCTAGACGATTCGTATGCTCCAAGGAGGGTTTTCAGACTAATTCAAGAACAGGTTGTCCTGCTTTCATAAAGGTGCAAAAAGCTGAGTCTGGGAAGTGGGTTCTAGGCAATATCAAGAAGGAGCATAATCATGAGCTTGAACTCCCGGGTGAAGTTCGTCCACCCCATATACAGAGGAAAGTCCTTCCTGCCCCAAGACTACCAGCTGTCGTGTCCTCTAGGAAAGGAATTAGATCACTTGAGGAGGATGGTCCATCTGGAGTCATTGATGTTAAACGTCTCAAAACAGAAGAAGTGGATGGAGGACCCAAAGGTGAACCACTTAAAGGCCTTGAATTCAGTTCTGCTACTGAAGCATACAGATTTTACAATGCATATGCGGCTAGTACTGGGTTCAAAGTTCGAATTGGTCAGTTGTTTCGGTCAAAACATGATGGGTCAATTACATCCCGAAGATTTGTGTGCTCAAAGGAAGGGCATCAGCACCCTTCAAGAGTTGGTTGTGGAGCATATATGAGGATACAAAGACAAGAATCCGGAAGATGGGTTGTTGATCGTCTGCAAAAAGAACATAATCATGAACTTGACTCTCCAACGGATGCATGTAGGAGATCGGCTGCTGCTCCCAAGGGGTTTAGAGAGGAAGTGAGCAGTGGATTGGAAAATGTGGATTTAGTTGAAACAAATGGCGGCCTCAGCCTTGACAAAGGAGGTCGGGAAAGTAACATTGGAAGTAATTGGTATAATGTGCTTCTTGAGTATTTTCAGTCTCGGCAAGCAGAAGATACAGGATTCTTTTATGCAGTGGAATTGGATGATGGCAAATGCATGAGTGTTTTCTGGGCCGATAGCCGGTCTAGATTTTCTTGCACTCAGTTTGGTGATGCCATTGTTTTTGATACAGCATACAGGAGAGGGAGTTTCTTGGTGCCATTGGCTTCATTCATTGGGGTTAACCACCACAAGCAGCCAGTGCTTCTTGGGTGTGCTTTAATTGCAGATGAATCTGAGGAGTCCTTCACTTGGGTGTTTCAAGCATGGCTTAGAGCAATGTCAGGACATCGTCCCCTGTCAATAATAGCTGATCAAGACAAGGCCATCCAACATTCAATTGCACAAGTTTTTCCTGGGACACATCATCGGTTTTCTGCATTTCAAATTATGGCAAAGGAGCAGGAAAATCTGGGTCTGCTGCTGTCCATGAATGCCGAGTTCAAATATGAATATGAAACTTGCATTTCTCAGAGTCAGACAGCTAATGAATTTGATTCTGCATGGAATGTGCTTGTCAACAAATATAACTTGAAGGAGAACTCTTGGTTGAAGGAAATGTACAGAATGCGTAAAAGTTGGGTCCCGTTGCATATAAGGGGCACATTTTTTGCAGGGATTTCTATAGATGGAAGCATGAAATCATATTTTGGTACGCTTTTGACTGCTCAAACCACCCTAAATGAATTTATTGTGAGATATGAGAAAGCTCTTGAGCAGCGGTTCGAGGAGGAAAGAAAAGAGGATTTTAACTCTTTCAACATACAACCAGTTTTGCACACAAAAGATCCCATAGAAGACCAATGTAGAAGGCTTTACACAATCACAATGTTCAAAGTGTTTCAGAAAGAGCTTTTGGATTGCTATAGTTATGTTGGAATAAAAATAAACGTTGAAGGTGCTATTAGTAGATATTTGGTGCAGAAGTGTGGCAATGGTGATGAGAGGAATACTGTTGCCTTTAATGCATCAAATCTTAACGTTAGTTGCAGTTGTAAAATGTTTGAGTTTGAAGGGGTGCTGTGTAGACATGCATTGAAGGTGTTCCAGATAATGAACATCAGGGAACTTCCATCTCGCTACATCTTACATCGTTGGACAAAAAATGCAAAGTATGGTATTCTACGGGATGTTGATTCAGGAGGTGGCTGTCAAGATTTTAGGCCTTTGATGCTGTGGAGTTTAAGGGAAGAAGCACGTAACTATATTGAGGCAGGGGCAGCATCTCTTGAGAGATACAAACTTGCATTTGAGATTATGCAAGAGGGTAGACGAAATCTTTGTTGGCAGAGCTAAAGGAAATATCTTGAATAGAGGTAAGAAACCTTTTCACCCTCTACTTTTCATTTTGGTTTTTTGATCAGAGATCGGACATCTCTGTAGATATGAATTTGAAAGACGGAAGTGGAGTTTTTGGCTAGTTTTTTCTGGTGGGTTTCGGCCATGTATCTAGAGAAAATACTTCTATGATGCAAATCAGAACCATTTTATGAATTTGTGATTTGGTTTGCTGTGTTTCACATCTTTAAGCTGCACTTGGATGTTAGGTAAATTTTTATTTTCCTGCAAATTCTTTGCTGACCCACTGTCATGCCTAATTATGCCCATGAAAAAGAATGAGAACTGCCTTCTAGATCCAGAATACTGTAGAACTGAAGTACCTTTTGGCATCTTAAGCGCACCATTGGTTCCACTCCTCCTCCTCCTCTAGGATCAATTCTGGTTGCTAGGGTGGCATTCTAGTAGAGTAGGTGGTGGTGGTGCATTGGGTTTGCAAGGTAGCGTTGGGAAGAGTGCTGAAGAGGAATGGGATTGTTGGGTCTCTTCCATTCTATGTATTCTGATAAGTACTATTTTGGAGTATATTACTTCTTTGGTCTCTAAATCATACCCCAAATTTTAATTCAACCCTTAATATAAATTGTCTTGATTGAGCCCTCTTAACTTTTCAACTTGAGTCAGTGGACTTTCTGTCTAATTCTGTGAGATTTTATGACACAAAAGATGTAGGATGTCTCTCGTGAATGAGAATGCCAGGGAAAAAAAGTGCGGGGGTCCCGCGGGGGGTGGGGTGTTTCAATTCTGTGAGATTTTATGACAGAAAGGATGTAGGATGTCTCTCGTGAATGAGAATGCCTGGGAAAAAAGCCCGGGGCCCCACCAGGGGGGGAGGGGTGGTAGTTAATACTCTAGACAAATCAAATCATAAAAGACCTCAACTCTCCAAACCTTAACCCAACACCTGATCCACCTGCCCGACCAGCAGGGCATAAGAGATGTATCAAAGAAATAACTTACCTTCACCCTACTTGTAGATGGAACACCGGAAAGTAGATGAAGGGAGAATCTGCATGGATGCTCCGGAGAAATAACAGCAAAAGAGAGTTATGAGAAAACACATTGTCTGTGGTGAGGCTTCACCACTGTGCTGGTTGTGTGGCTTCAACATTGAAAACCCTACTCTCTCCATTGTAAATTCACAAACTAGAACATCATAGTTTCCACAATACATTTTAATTTCAACCTGCCTTTACAAGTCTCTTCAAACGTATAACACACACACACACACAAAAACAGGAGTAAAATCACAAATGCAATTCTCTGGTGTGATGGATATAAGATTTGCTTGTTATATTGGTATACATCAGATGATGGAGATTATGAATGGCGCTCATCAAACTCTTCCTCCTCTGATCCTTTGCCTCGAAATGACATCTTCAACGCCAACATGGATAGTTCCCATGCAAAATAACTGTGTCCCGCTCAGAATTATCATCAAGGTCTCTAGACTCCTCTGTAATGCCATAGGAAAAATAAAGAGACTTATGTCATTAACAACCATGATTTCATGAATGAAGAATTCTCCAAAGCCAAAACCCCAGAAAACCCGCCTCACTTTTTCGTAGCCTGATGTTAGTTTTGCATGCTTTATGACTAGGGTCTTTTTGGGTTTCTTTTGGGTCTTGGTAGGATTTGATTTCACCAGAACGTTAGACCCATCGTGGTTATGAGACTTCCTCCAGTGATCCTTTTCTCTAAGTATAGCAAATAAGTAAATGATTTCTTAGGAAGAGAGAGAGAGAGGAAGGTTAATTTTCATTCCTCGAGTTCATTAGCTTAAATTATAAACAGTTGCTTACCAAGTTTGAATCTGTCCAGCCTATCTCAATCTCCTTGCATGCCAATCTGCAGAGAAATAATAGGGAAAACGGCATGAGCCCCGTGGTGTCAAACCTGAACCCCCGCAACCTTCTCCAACACACGCACTATGTATTGTGAATTAATCTTTGATTAAGAAAATTATATACCCCATGGCAAGTAGTGTGAGTGACCAAGTAATGAGGGAAGAGGCAGCAGCTGCATGTAAGTTGGAGAGATTCGACTGGATTATATTGGTGATTCCAGTAACTGAGGTGATGAAGCCCACAACACCAGCTATGAGTGAGAAGATGATGAAAAAACCAGTTGCCATGTTACCAAACGGAAAATATATGGGAAATATCCGAGCTGGGATCGACAAAGTGATGTGCACAACAACCAAGTGGATAACATTCAGCTGAATCAAAGGAAAAAAAAATCGAATAAATAACTTCATCACGATTATTCTGATTTTTATGTACTGCTTGATTCGATAAATCGGGATTGGACAATGTAATTATTTACCTGTTTCTCGCGCTCTTTCAATCCCATGGGTTATAGCCCATGCAGCTATTATTGTGACGATGAAATACAGCATGAGATTGAGAGTTAGGAGGATAAATGCTGCTGATTTGCCTGCTCCAGAAGCCATGGCCTTGGAAAACTTAGAAA